TTTCCTTTGGAATCCAACACCCAGCATGAAGTTGGGACACTGCCTGTTGGGATAATTCTTTTTTCCCAGGGATTTGCCTGGTGGAAAGCATCTGAGCATCAAACCTACTTTCAGGGGCCATGTCTGGGAACAAGCACTAACAATCCCCTGCAGGCACATGGGTGGGAGCTCAGTTTAAACTGCATCAGGGAAATTTGGATAAAGAATCCAAGAGAGGTCCAGGGAAGAGCCTGATTTTGGGACAGAGGTAGAAGCAGCCAAAACTCAGGGTTTATAATGACTTCAGTGACATCCTGAACCAACTTCAACTCACTGCCCACCTCACTCTGTCACTCCAAGGCTGCCTGTGCACCTATTCCCATGGGTACCTGTGGGTCCAGGAGACCCGCTGTCACCCAGCCCCACCTCAGCCTCACCTGGCCTGCAAGTTCTCAATCTCAATGCTCTTCTCCCTCTCCATTTTGCTGAGCAGCTCCCTCTGCTTCTTGATCTCCTCCAGGAGGGTCTGGTCAGCTCGCAGCTCCTGCTCCTTCAGCTGCTCCTCGAGAGCATTTGCTCTGCAGAAAGGAGAAAGAGAAGATTAAACACTCCTTGGGCCTACTCCTCCCAGCACCCTGCCAACCCAAGGGAAGGACCAGACTCTCTTTTCCAGCCCTTCTCCCATCCCACAGGTGACCAGCAGAGGAAGCTTTCAGGGAAAATACACCAATCAGCATCTCAAACAGCTTCACCCCAGCAGATGCAGTGGGACAGCAATACAGTCCAGGAAACCACCAAGGCCCAAACTGCTGACCAAAACAACAGGCAAATAAATCAAACAAGCCAGGTGGTATTTGCTGGTGCTGTCTCTGACTAGATTTTTAAGCCTTCAGGCTGCACCAAACCCCTTAAAAGGGGCAGGTGAGAGTGGAAGCACAGTAGTCATTTTATAACTCACAGCTGGTGGCTCACCCAGAACAAGCTATCACAGAGTCACTGAGGTTGGAAAAAGCTCTTCAAGGTCATTGAGTCCAACCATAAATCCCAGACTGTGCTTTCTCCTGTAGTGGCCACAGCAGAGAAATCCTCCTTCAGCCATTTCTAGCACTTTGGGCTCCTTTACTCTGCCCTGAAATATTCTCATAGACAACAGCCCCAACGCTCCTTTTCACTCTCTTCTGTCCCCAGCACAAAATATGGGATCTGCAGCTTACCCTTCTCTGTGGATTCTCTCCAGAATCCCAGAATCGTTTGAGCTGGAAGGGACATTAAAGCTCATCTCATCCCACCCCTGCCATGGGCAGGGACACCTCCCACCAGCCCACGTTGCTCCAAGCCCCATCCAACCTGGCCTGGAACACTTCCAGGGATGGGGAGGGAGCTGGAATTTATGCAATGGCTTTGCCCAGGCAAAGGCTTTACCCATATGAAGCTTTTCCTCCCCCCACTGAACACGCTCAGGGTTTTACTCCACTCAAAGCCAACTGACACTTCTGAGCCAATCTGCTGAGTGAAAACATTTCCCTCACTCCAAAGTTTATCAGGGCTTAGGGAAACCTTTGTTTGGATCACTCAGTTCCCTGACACGACTGTTACTTAACAGTCTTACAGCCCTATAGATAATGTCCTGCTGGGTTTATCTGCTGAGGGTAAATACTTGCATGGAGAGGGAAGCCTCAGATTAGTACAGACAGCAATTACATCATGTCGGATCCAAAGGGTACACTCCAGCCAGGATCCCACAGCAACAGGATCAAGGCTGGCTGTGGGGAGAGTGACGATGGGTTCTAGGGACAGGGCTGGACCTCCCATCCAGAGCTCAGAGGTGAGAAAAGGGCCAGAAAGAGTACATAAAGAGGGAGGATGAAGTGTATATTCTCCCTGAAAGGGAAGCTCTCCAAGAAGTATGACCCCATTGCAGTTCTCTGGGGTGTCCTGGAGCAAAGTCCTGAGAGACCTTTTTGGATGTGTATATATATATATATCTA